ATGCGCCAGAGTAAGCGAGGATACAATGTTCAAAGCATTGTCAAGGTAGGTTTGCATGGAATCGCTCCCTTTTTGGAGACTATGAAGGCGTTCTTTCAATTGGAAGATGTGAGTGCGGGATAAGGAATTATACCGTTGTTCGAGATGAGTCCATATTGCGGCGGATGTTGGAAGAGCATGTATGTGTGTTTGGACAGTGGGGGAGACGATGGCTAATAAACATGCACGTAGCTGAGCATCAATGAGCATCCATGTCTCATATGCTGGATTTGCCTTCATGACCGGCGAGTCTTCTTTTCCAGAGGCTGCAGCTTTGCCGTCAATAACGAGAGGGGGAGGAGCGGATCCTGTTCCATCCACGTAACTTAGAAGACGATGAGCCAGAAGATTAGCTCGAATGGTTGCTGACCAAGAGGGGTAGTTCGAGTCATCAAGCTTCGCCGGAGTGAGAGATTGGAGGTTTCTAACGAACAGCTTGAGGCCGGTGGGTAGATGATCCATAGGATCGTCAGAGAGAGACATGATGTTGGCGTGAGGGTGCTGCTTCGGCAGAAACCCTAGCCGCTGGTTTTTTTTTGTTTAACGTATGAGAGAGGAGAGAGGATCTTGTTGCTCCGATACCATGTTGAATTTTATGAAACAATAGATTTTACTCATGGAAATAAAGGAGGATACATGGGGATATATATAGGTGGAGATCCTAATATGAGTAGGATTCCTCTAGGAAGATATCTAGCTATTACAACTTCTACTAGGAATAGAATTCTAATGTCTAACAGAAGTGAATTTAGTATATTAGAGTGGAAAAAATACATGTCTGCATTTTAACTGTTCACTTAACGCAAAAATGACACATCCAAGTAACACTAATGATCACTACCAAATTTGGGAGTAACAACGTAAATAAAAGAGAAATGTGGGAGTAATCATGTGAATAAACAAATTTGGGAGTATTTATGTAAAATCTGTAATTTCTAGGAGTATTCTTGTCAATTTTGCCTTTTATTTTTAGACATTGCGAAAATTTATGTTGCTTACTTGCATCAATCGTATTTAATCTTTACAAAATCTTTACAATTGACTTTTCTTGTTCAAAGTTTGTAAATTTTGATCTCGATAAGTGGAAAAAAATCTATTCTACTTTGGTATATGCGTGATATTAATAGTCAAAAAGATATGTTGGAGACGGTAAAAAATCAAATGAGAAGTTTAAAACCAGACAAATGGAGTAAATAGAAATTAAAGGATCAACACCCTAGACTCCTAAGCTAGAGGAATTGAACAAGGAAGCTAATAAGGAAACTCCACACAAAAGAAGAAGTTTAAGGGCAAGAAGAGCTAGGCTTACACTCCCATAGGGTTTATTTTGATCTTTTGAGACAAATAAAGAAGCAAAAGCTAAAGACACATTTATGAGCTGTTTTTAAACACTACTTTGTCTAAACAAACCCTAAACATGCACACCCTCTAATTAAGCTGGCAGCTGGAGCTAGTCTTGGAAGTCTTCAAAGCCATAACTTCTTCATTCAATGTTTCTACCTGTCTATGCACAGTAACAATTAAATTTCACCCATCTCATCATATTTCTGCCTCTATAAATATATAACACTCCTCAAAACCTCATTGTATCAAAGGTAAAAAAACAAAGAAACCCAAGAATCTATATTGGACACCAAGGGCAAAAAAGGAGGAAAAATGGCATATAATAATAAGTTGTGCATTGCTTTGTTTCTGGTGGCGGTTGCAGTCTCTCCTGCAAGCGCCGCCAGACAAGCGCCATTCGGCGACCAGAAGAACGTCGTCTCGTACGGTGGAATCGGTAGCATGAGCGGAATCGGAAGAGGCGGGCTCCCCTTTGGCGGCATTGTCGGCGGAGGGGGCTTGGGGGGTGACCTCGGGGGAGGTGGCGGCCTCGGTGGTGGCGCTGGGCTCGGTGGAGGATTCGGTGGCGGTGCTGGGCTTGGTGGAGGAAGTGGCCTGCCGGGTTTCGGCGGCGGTGCTGGGCTTGGTGGAGGTCTCGGTGGCGGCGTCGGAGGTGGTGCCGGAGACCTCCCGCTTCCGTGAAGAGAGCGGGCGCGCACGTTTGAAGAAGGAGTTGGTGGTGGTTTTAATTAATTAATTACTGTATTTGGGTCTAATTGTTAAGGTTTAGATGTGTGTGTTTGCTGAGTCATGTTTGGAAGGCGTTTAATTTGTTATGTCAGATTAATTATGGGCTGTTTTCTTGTGTCTGCACTTCGTTAATTCCATCATCGACCAGTTGTTGTAGTTGAGCTACTATTATGGCTAGCTTGTTCAATTCCATTATTATCCATATATATATATATATGTGCATGGCGAGCCAAAATAACTTTAATTTTATATCTTGCTTTGTTACATTATTTGTGCATGACTAATACTCTCTGTCGCCGAATAATTTATCAAAGTTTACTTTTCATAATGCATTTCAATGAGAAAATAAAGAGAATGTCTACTACTTTACAACATTGAGTAATGGTGGTGGGTGAAAATGTTAAAAGAGGTGGGTAGAATGTAATAAATGAAGTGAAATAAGGAGAGAAATAAGGAGTATTACAAGGAATTGTGTAAGGTGCAAAGAAGGCCGCCTAGGAGGGACTACTCATGAAAGAGATGAACAAGTCAAAATGGCTAAGTATCAAACTAAACAACAACAACAACAACAACAAGAGTAAGGTGGGGGGAGGGTGTGTGAACGCAGACCTTAGCTTGCCCCTACTTGAAAGTAGAGAGGCTGTTTCCAAAGAGACCTCCGGCTCAACATCGAAAGTTGCATTACTAGACTAACTGCTACTTCATTAATTAAAGAAGTGCAGACAGTTTAGAGATCCATTTTGATTTATTCCATCACACCCCAAAGCCAAAAAATGGTGAGATTTTGGCTCCATGGGAGATGATGGAAATGCTAAGTATCAAACTCTAAGGACAAAATATGAGAATCTTCATATGGATGACAAAGAAGGAATCACTAATCTGAGTTTCATATATGGGAGGGTTAGAGAACTCGTTAATAATTAAAGCTGAAAAAATGGAGCAAAGATCCTGACGCGAAAGCTAGCTATGCCACGGATGAAAAAAAACTGACCGCTCTTTCAATGGGATGTCTCTATTGTCTTTCTACACGGTGAGCTGGCAGAATTAAACTACTTATATGACTCAACTTCCTGCAAGCTGTAAAAATCCTTAATTAGCTTGTATGGCCTTAAGTAGTCACCCCTATCCACGGACATGCATGAAATCTCTTCTATCTTTCCTATTTATTTACGGTGCAAGGCTTTTCCCTAGCTACCACTGATGATCATGCATGACACAAGTCTCTTTAAGAAACATTGCTCTCAAGGCACTCTTATATTGTTATTATATGTTGATCATGATATTGTTATTACTACTCACTCTTTGTCTACCCTAATTCGATCATGTTTTTATTCAAAGTACGCATCAAGAATTTTAGATGAAAAATCTAGGGGGATGAGTTAATAAGCTAAGTCGAGAAACTAACTAACACATTGAACAACGTAAGGTGACAACAACACTGTGGATGGAATTCGAATCTCCTTCAATAAGGGTTTACAGGCACACTTGTAGTAAAAACTAATAAGGTACAATGCCATTTGTGCTCATGCCTGCAGGCCACGTCCTATAGCGTTTGCATTGCACCTTTAATAATTATCCCCTCTAATATATTTTGTGTTTGTCCCCTTTTGGCGTATAGTGTTAGGGTTAAAATAACATTTTCCACAATAAATATACACTCGTATATATATATAGTAGGAGTACATATACACATATACATATACTGTCGTCCCTCGGAGACTTCGCCCCTCTATTCTAGTTAATCTCTCTCTCCACCCACCGAAAAGAAATAATTCGTGTCAAGCAAAGAAAGCCTCCCCTGCATGCAAACGGACACGTGAACCCCTATATATATATATATATATATATATATATATATATATATATATATATTCACACCTTTCATTTTCCTCACAATTAAAACTTAAAGTCCTTGGTTCATCGTTTCGTTCGATCACCTACAAAAGATAGAATAATACCCAAAGAATAAAAATGGCCGCCTCCATGACGACGACCCAACAACAACCCGGCCGCAACGACCAGAAGCTCTCCTACCAGGTGGCCAAGACCGCCACCGCCGCCACCGTGGGCGGCTCCCTCATGGCCCTCTCCGGCATCACCCTTGTCGCCACCATCATCGGCCTCGTCATCGCCACCCCCTTGCTCCTCATCTTCAGTCCCGTCCTCATCCCCGCCGCACTCACCGCCTTCCTCATCCTTGCCGGGCTCTTCGCCTCCGCAGCCTTCCTCGCTACTTCCGCCTTCATCTTCTACTGGATGTACATGTAAGCTAAGCAACTCATTGATCGAACACAATGGATAAATATAAAGAACCCTTTCTTTTACTGCGGGCATGCATAAGACTCTCTAAGAATGCCGCCCTTTGATTAATAATTAATTCCTAGGTACATTGCCGGGAAGCACCCGGTGGGAGAAGACAAGATCAACTATATGAAGGAGAAGCTGGCGGTTGCGGCGCAGGGATTCAAGGAGAAGGCGGCGGAGCTCGGGAGCAAGGGGCAGCAGCAGATCAAGGGGACTGTGCAGGAAAGCACCTAAGAGGAGGCCGGATGATTATTGATTATATATGTATGTGTGTGTGTGGAGTTTATGCTAGCAGCTCCCATTAATAATAAATATATGTTTTGAGAAGAGAATTGGCCATGCATTGGTGTTTGAGTTTGGGGTTCCATATGTTTTGTGTATCTTTGTTTCCTTTTCATTGGTGTGATGGTGCATTTAGTGGAGACCATCAATGTGAAGTGCCCATCATATATCCATTTATGATTTATGTATGTACCAACCTATGTTTATCATCTACCAACCTCTATTCATCTTCTTTCCACATGCATGTCTAAACCAGGTCCTCTAGACCATTTGGTGCCATAATTTCTTAGTTTGGTTTACCTCTTCTCCTCTAGTCATGTCTATTCACCCTTTGATCTACTCTTTTCACCAAATGTTCTATTGATCTTCTCTTCACATGCATGTCCAAACCACTTAAGACAACTCCAATGCAACTTTAGTTCTCGTATTTTCGTTTCTTATTTTATTCATACGTGTATGATCGTTCATCCATCGAAGAATCTTCATTTCGACCACACTAATGAATCTTGTGTAGATGTTCACTCTTTGCTGTCCAACTCTCTGTTTCATGTAATATAGCTGGTATAATCGTAGTACGGCAAAATTTTTTCCTTAGTTTTAAAGGTACTTTTTATCACACATAAACTCCAATGCACTCCGCCAAGAAATATAAAAAGTTGCAAGAAAGACAAACTAGTACTCACTCTGTCCCATAAAGTGTTACCCATTTTGACTAAAGTTGAAATTAGTGGAAGGATAATTTTGTGTTGACTTTCCAAAAATACCCCTGATGTGATGGGTAAAAGTAGGATGTGATGTGTAGATTATTAGAAAAAAGGTATGATGTGATAGGTAGGGTTTGAAAAAGTAAGGGGTAAAAGTAGTTTTTTAATAGAAATGGGTAAAAGATTGTGGGACACAATTTTTTTGAAACGTGTAAATCTTTTTGGGACGGAGGGAGTATGTAACAGAAAAAAGCGTACTGCTTAGTTTTTTTGGGGGTCTAATGGGGTTGCAATTCAAAGAAGCGAAGGAGATCATTCCTTAGTTTTTTGGAGTTCTAATCCGGCATTGTATTGCCTTGAAAGGATCCTTAATGAAGAATATATCTTTATAGTACTAAAACATATAGTGAAATTCTCAATGTTGTTCCATATGTTTTAATTTTCTAATGTAGTATTACTGTTCACTATTGATTGGACATTGTTCAAGTAAACATCAACCGTCACTAGACATTATTCAAAGTAAATGTCCATCGTCATACTAAACGGCATTGTTTTTGTCACTGAACATTGTTCAAACACTATTTAGAAAAATAAAAAGTTTTAGTCAATGCATTGGAAAATAGTCAAAGTTTACAGACTTTAAACATGAAAAGTCAAATGAGAAAATCACTTTAAGACGAAGGGAGTATTATTTAGTACAAATTTGACATCCTTAACTACATTAGCTTGAATAGCTAGCTATTTTCTTGAGTTAATAAGCAGAATAGCATTGAATAATTAAGTACTCTCTCCGTCTCTGAAAACCTATCTCCTTTCGCTTTTTTCATTTGTCCCAAAAAAAATTTATCGTTTCTATTAAAAAATGACTTCTACATTTTGGAGTGTAAATAGTTTTTCCATGTATAAATTACATTTTTGCTTCTTTTTTTGTTTGAAAGGTTTTATCAATTGTGTGCTCTTTTTCAAACATTTTCTAATTTTTAATAGTTTCTTCTCTTATAAATGAAAAATCTTATTTTGTTGAGTTTAGGATGGTGGGAAACCAAATTAAGAAAAAAAAAGATCTCATAACAATCACACATAACATTAACACAAAACCTCCTTTAGTTTATACATTTTCCTAAAAGAAAATTGTATACATTAATTACTCGAGGTTAATTTTCCTAGTTAAAGCAATAGCATAACAGCATGAATCAAAGAAGAAAAGGAAATTAAATTAAATGAAATCCTTAATGGAATCAAAGAAGATGAAAAACTTACCAGAGTATTTAGCAAAATAGAGTATATATCGTCCGCTTCACAAACTTTTTCCCAGAGCCATCTCCCAGTTTTTACTTGGTAAAAATTTTTACAGTATAAACATGGGTGGAGAAAAAAGAGGCCACGTGTTCACGCACTTGGATTGCTAATTGGGATAAATAAGGCCTGGTGTAATCCATCACGCTAGGGGTGTTTTATTCGGTCTTCGGTCCTCAATTTCTCTTTATTCGGTCTCCATTTCACTCTGTTCCACCGGGTTTCGGTCCAGACTGGTACATCGGTTAGATTGTATTTTTTTAAAATAGATTTTGAATTATAGTTATAGAATCTTATACATTCATAATGTCACTTTAACTTTAATTCCAAAAGTTTTTTCAAATGTTATGTTTTTACCTTTTAATACAAGTTTTTAAAAATATTCTAATTGAAAGTAAGATACAAAAAATAAAGATTTCTAAAGATTTTTCAATATGAAAAGTGTGAAAAAAATAAACAACACGTTTACATTAGCGATCTAATGTATTTCTAACTAATGTACTAATGCTATAACTTATGTTTGTGTTTTATCTTTAATGAAAGTCTAATCAACAAAATGAACTTTGTAAAAAATATCATAAACAGAAACCGAAAAAACAAAAGTACATGTTTACCTAAATAAAATAAAAAACACAAATTAAAAAACAACATTACAAGAAAATAATTAATAATAGTAAGAAAAGGTATAGTGCGTATGTAAAACAAAAATTGCGAACTACTCGTACCTTTTTTGTAAGACGGGTGGAGGCTATATTTTATTTAAAAATTGTTAAAAAATTAATAATAATGGTGTTCGACATATTTAGTTTATCTTACACAAAAAATTAGTAGTTGTAATACATGTGTGCAATTGAATCCTTGAAACTAAAAAAATAATTTTTTAAAAAAAATAAAAAATTATACTTTTATTCGGTCTGGTCATTGTCCGATCCTTACATTATTCGATCCGATCTCTGGTCCATGTTTTAGCTCTTATTTGGTCCCCAGACTAAGCTAGTCCGATTCGGGTTTGGACCGATACACCCCCCTACATCACACCATACCACTCCACGTCAATCAACGCTACGTCAACTTTTCTTTTTCTCATCATAACTCATCACACCACTATCACACCACAAGGGCGTAGATTACACTCATCCTGCCATTTTTTTTTAAAAATCAAAATTAACTTAAAATAAATAACATTAAATATATTATTCAATAACAATAAAATTAAAATTATATTGATGCAATTAATCCTTTTCTTGCGTAAGAATTTGAACCTGCTGGGCCATGGTATTCATGGAAATAGCTTCCACTTCATCTGAGAGGATGCCCACATTATGAAAGAAATGATGAAAATTCTGAAGAGTAGAATATATTGAGNGGGGGTTATATAAGGATTTTGGAAAAAGAAAAAAAATTTAAAAACTACTCGTTTAACGACTAGTTTGGAAGGGAAAGCGCTGTAGTGAACGTGATGGTCATCACCACCTCCATCACGGTCACGGTAAGGGGGCAGTGCTCCATGCCGTGGTGGACGCCTATGTGGGTCCACCTGGTCATCACGGAGACCACACCGTGTGGTCTAATTAAAGATTGACAAACGGTCCTCTTCACCGTTAAATAGTTTAATGTTTATATAAAACTTTTTATACCATGTAATAATTATTCATTTATACCCTTGCCACGCACGCGGACATAACATTTTTATACCATGTAATAATTATTCATTATAAATGATTAAGAATTTGAACAAAATTTAATAGCGATAAAAAGTAAAATAACACAAATTTCACAAGTTTACCAATTGTCAATTAAAAAAATTCATTTTTTTAATTATTTGAAATCATTCGATTCTTTTAATATGGTTCATAAATAGCAAGTTTGTGATGTTTGTACCAATTTTATTTTGACTCTAAGATTTCTCTTTTGTTTGCAACTTTAATTTTTTCTATGGAGAATTCTTTTTTAATTATTTAATGTCAGAAGTATATCCTTATAATTTAGACCATTAGTATATGCTTCTGAGTAATATTTCATTTTCATGAATCAAAGTTACAAAAAATATTCGCTATTAAAAGTATTCTATTAAAGTTAAAAAAATATTTTTAACAAGAATATATGAGCTAAAAACTTCAACCAATTTTTTTTTATCTTTAACTAAAAATGTCCCGTGCCACATGGCTCGAACTCCAACCCACATCTACAAGTTAAAGAATACTTATTTTGCACAATCATTTCTTTGCATATACAGATATACTTAGAGTAATGAAACAAATAAGATCTTGAAAATGGAATAGCAGCATAATATATTTAGAAAAATAGAATTAGTTTGTGCACATTTGAAAATAATAACATGATATCCATTTGATGTGCGCCTGTCGGGTCGGAGGTGAGGGGCGCCCGGGGTGAGAGATTTCACCTTTTGGAGAATCATATCCATATGAAAGTTAGTACATTTGACCTGTTGTAGAGTATATGTTTTTTTGACAAAAGAGCCCCTAACACAATTTCCTCAACCTCTATATATAACATGACTTGTGTTCAAAATATCTTCTATTGATCATATTTCCCACTCTTATTATAATTCAATTTACCTTTTCTTAAGTAAATGAATAGGATTCCTCTTTTATAATTGCCCCGTTTTCTAAATCTCAAACAAGTCCTTATCATTAAACTGTGACCCATTAATGTCAATGATATTCATACCTTATCTATAGGATATTTTAGAGAATTCATAAGAATTTACGGTGTAAAAAACAAGAAAGCAGACTACATTGGGACGGAAGGAGTAATAAGAAGAGAGATAGAGCAATGGAACCTTCGTACGAAAAGCGTTCCCGGAAAGGGACAGAGCTGTGTTTTATGTTGTCAACGCACAAATTAAACAAACCAGAGGAAGCAACAAGAAAAAAGTCATCAACTGTCACAGCACTTGTGAAGAAAATGAGACTACTACATGTAAAGCCCTTCGGGGACTCCCTCTTTCTTCTTGAACATCACCTTGTCCTTTGCTTTCTTGAAATCGGCATGCGTTACCTGGCAAATTCCAAATTTAA